CAAGTCAATCCAAACCAAAGCAAGACTCTTATGACAGCTGGAGGCTACTTTGTAAAATTAAACAGAAAAATGTACTTGATTATTCACAGCATCCTGTATTTTCTCACTGTGAGTACCTTGTCCTATTTAAAAAAGGATTAATTTAGAAATAACTATGAACAACAGCTCAGACCTGGGACAAAAGCAGAGCAAATAAGTCACAAGGTTAGAAAAGCACTGTAAAAATGTCCGCAAATGTAAAAACAAAGTAGCGGCTGCTGGAAATTAACAGTAACATCAATCATTCCAGGGTGCAACTGTGCATAGGCAAGGCAAGGCAAGGCAAGTTTATTTATATAGCACTTTTCAACACAAGGCAATTCAAAGTGCTTTACAAAAAATGAAAGACATAGCAGGAGAGAGTACTAGCAGGGTGAATGTAGGGAGCCGATAGATCATTTAACTGTGGTGAGTTTAACTGTGTTTGTACACAGAACCTTAAGTATAGACTTCTGCTCAATGATCTGCATATTCAGAGTGGACATCACAACTAATATTGCTCACTAACTAACATGTCACCTCAACATTTACTGTTTTTATATTAATCATGTGAGTGGGGCTGCATGGTCAGGAGCCTCTTTGCTTTCCTCTACAGATGGCAATGCCAGTCTTTTGCTATGACATTGTTACAGTCATATTGCCCCGCGGGTGAATCATCATGACTTTGGAAATCATGTGAAGCACTAAAAATTAATTATTTCCTAATGTCTTTTCATAGCCACCTTTACTTGACTTCAATGGAAAAATGTCATTAAGTTGAGGAAAGATGTGAAAGAGAACAGGACTTTCATGATGCTAAGAGACTTGGACTGCATTTACTTTTTGTTTGTTTTTTGGCCAACTTTAGTAGTCTACTGTGACCATACTCAATGCTTTACAAAACAGAATCCCACTTTTAAAACCTTCAATTTATCCTTCAACAAGATACAATTCAACTGTGACGGCGGACAGTATTGGCAAACAAATGTGTTGCTTTAAATGTTGCTGCTTTAAATTGTGGGAGGTCATTCCTTCTTTTCCTTTTAGTTGATCTTGTAATGAGCATTGTTGTATTTGTTCGAGTAAAAGTTGAAATGTGTGGGATTCATTGGTTGAGGTTTGTAAACATTCAGAGTTGGCCCCTCCTCCCTACCTAAACAAAGGTGACTGTGCTTGCCAGCTGGTAAAACCCAACTCAAGATTCAATCTTGTTTTGGAAAAATATGTTTGTTTCAGTTGGGTTTTTTCTTCCTCCGTGGCTTTTCCAAAACATTTTGAGTTTCCTCTTGGATGCACGCTTACAATCTTGCACCTAGTTGCTCAGTTTTCAAAGAGGTTGACGCCCAGGAACATCAGAACAGCAAAATGAAAAGAAAGAGAAAATACAGGCATAGGACAGGGCCTCTGCAAACACACACACCGCCACACACTTCTAGTGGGTCATAATCAATTATTGAAAGGGGGTTCCTTTGTGTACGGGTCTATATACAATGTTGTTTAATAAATAATCTAAATACATTCACCGGTCTGAAATCACCTCTGAGATTAATTAAAAAATAGTGATGAAAGGCATTTACTATGCATGATAAGCAGATGATCCTCTGACCCAGCAACACCTTTAACACCGCATATCAAACAGGAACAGGTGGCTCCAACAGGAAGAGAACCAAACACAGACAACAGTCCTGCTCAGCAGCAGCCGCTGTAAAATGTAAAAGGTTTCTCTTCCTTTGTGCATTAAAAATAATACCATCTCCTTATCAATCATTTTAAAAATAATGCTTCCTTTCTTAGAACCTCTCAGGTCTAGTCGAGCTGTCAATCAAACAGAGGGTGCACATGTTTGTAATGAATTTTGGCAATACATTCTTGTGCAAGATGTTTTCCTCCATTATTAAGAGCGGATCATGTAGAATGGCAAAAATAGTAGTCATATTTATGATGGTTATAATACATGCTAAACTTCGTCTTAAAATGTTATAAGAACATTTTAATTAAATCAGCAGAAGTGCGATTATGTTAAGTTTGACAGTCCTCCGTAAGCTACACAAACTGACTATTGATAACAGATGCTGGTATAAAGCAGAATCTCCATGTCCGTAACAATGTTTTATTTTACATTAGTCAAAAATTGACGACATCTTCGCACATTTAAATTAAATTCCCCTCTCCTTAAGGCTAATACAAAGCCTGAGGTGAAACTGTTCACTGCACCAAGCCAGTGATAACTCATTTTTTTAAAGTAATGGGTTGTCAAAAATGGGGCACAGGGCTGTTGAAAGGGGAGAAAACAAATTAAATACAAATGGATCGTTGCTTAACCTTAAGCAAACCATGTTAGAATCCATTAAAGCACTGGATGAATTTGTGCCATTGTTTTTAGGTTAAAGGATGCTTTGATCTCAGGGAACAATTTCATAGGCAATAGCAGTAATGTGATTGCTTCTGTCATCATGTTTTTAACAGATTACATATTTAATCGGTTCGTGAATAAAGAATATAATTTACACAGATTACAAGCCAGGGGTTGACAGGTTAGATGATCCACAGACAGACAGATGGACAAAAGGTCAGCGAGTGGGAGTTAAACCAACATCCACCTGGTTTAATCCGTGGTAGAAGAACATCTGATTCTTCTTTTCCAATGGCTCAAAAAAGTGTCCACTTCCACAATGGCGTGAATGTTAGTGCATAACTTGTGGGCACAAACATGATGAATGGCAATACAATTGTATTTGTCATACACATATCACTGGTGCAGGGACTGAAATGCAAAGCTATGCAGAATATCTGAGAACGATTGCAAAGGAAGTAGGATATACAGTATAATGGAATTAAAGTGACTCAGTAGCTGTAATATCCCTGGGTAGTTGCTTTATGGGGGAGATAAGAGGATTTTGTCAGGTTGAAATGCCGGCTAATGCTATTGTTTCTATTGGGAGCATAAAACAGCAAAGCAGCTTTTCACACATCTTTTCTTCTTTTGTAGTGCTGTTACTGTAGATATCGCTTCAAAGCACGAGGTGGAAACAATTTGAATATTGCAGCATTGTATGCAGTGTTTTTTCTAGTTTTTTAAATGCAATTGTAAGAACCCAAACCTATCCCTGTATGGTAAAACAAATTCATTTTTTAAAACATACTTTTGAAAATAATACAAAAATAATCATTTTTGAATTTTTAATGCAGCATTGTTAATGCATTTTTTTATAAAAATATAAATGACGGAGTTTGGAGGTTTCATGAAAGGATTCTGCATGTATCACTTTGTCTCCCTGCAATCTCCTCTTCTCTTTCAAATGCTCACTTATGCACTCACACATGCACTTAAACAGGCCTCTAAGTTACTGTAAATGGCCATTGAGGGTGGGTTTTGTTCAAAGAGACCATTAAATGAAGTTAGGAGGATGGTTAGTGTTACCCTTTCTTCCTTCTCCTCTGCTGATTTCTGTTTTTATAATTCCACTATTTCCTTTTCTCTGCAAACAAAATGTTTCACCTTCCTTCACTTGTCTTCAGTGCCTCCTTTAGCTCTTCACTTATTAATCCTTCAAGCTCATAGCGCTCCCAAGGATGTAACTTGTCATGTTATGTCTTCTCAATCACGGTGATATCTACACCTCATACAAAACAAACAAAACTCTTACCGCCCTCCCACTCCTCAAAAAAAGAAAAACAATCCAATTTGATTTCAAATGGTACATTACTGAAAAGCATGGCTGATATAATCTAATACCAAGTCGATGCTAATACTTGCACCAGTGATGCACTCCCATGCGTAAGAGGCACAGCAGTTCCACTTTGTAGCAGGAATAATTTGCATTAAATCTCAAAAGAAGCGTCTAGGTGTTATTACCTGTCACAATACAACCAAGCCCCAATCTGCCAGCAGCCAACAGGGTGTGTTTAAATAAAATATACGCCGGCCACCATGGGCCACTAAGAAAATCTGTTTGCAGTGAAGGTTCCCCATCGACCGCCCGCTCAGACATGTTCCTCTGCTAATAACTAGTTTTACCCATCCTGAGCTGCTTTTTAGGCCTTGTAAGAAAATAAAAAAACAAGTTTGAAAGTGTAGAAAGACACATACAATATTTGTACAACTGTGTTTGAGGATAGACCAAGTGTCTTTTAAATGAAAATTGTTCAGGGGAGATGATCTATAATGGACGAAGAAGAGCGAGGAGAAGAAAGGTAGGCTACATGGAGGAGAAAGAAAATCAAGGAGTCAGAGGTGAGGAAGAGGATCATGGTGAAAGGTCATGTTTTATTCCCTTTCATTTCTTGCTGAGTCCAAAGACATGGATCTAGACAGACTTCTATTGTATTCTATATCATATTGTGTAATGGGGGGATTTTCAAACATGTATTACTGCCAGTGTATAGCAATCGGGAAAACACATACACGCACGCACGCATTTAAGCCACACATATCATCGCCATAGCGATGCCGAGATAATAAGACAAGCCACGGGCGTGTTTAACTTCTGAAGAAAAAATTAGAGGAAGTTGCTCGCAGCGCAAATAGATAAATAGATAAGAGGGGCTGCTTGTGGGAGTAAAGGGGAAACGCTCAGCCAGCGGAAATCTGCGCGTCTGGGGATCGGGCAAAAGTCGCACACCCTTTTATTCAAACTAACAAAACACAATTACGCAGATGAAATAGCGGCTTGTTTGTAATCTCAAGAGCTCCCGTGAAGAAATAACAACTTAAAATCAAGTTCAAGGGGGGAACAAATCTATGAGGATCCAAATGTGTACGGCACCTTCAACACAAACTGAACACTATGTGTGCGTCTGATTCAGAAGCAAATCTGTATGTGAGCGGATAAATAACGTTATTGCAAGAATAATTTCATTCAAAGGACTAATTTATTGCGAAATAATCATCCAAAATGAAAAGGCAGGTGTGTATAAACAGACATCACTGTTGTGGGATTTATAGTAGAGTATGTTTAGTCTCAAGAGGATAATGAACTCACCTTCCGTAGGATCCACTGGCACAGGAAAACTATGGTCCAACCGAGAACCTGCATGTCAGCTTCCTTTTAGCGAACCACCGCGAAAAACTACACGTCTCCTCGGCTGAACATATATAAGAGACAGCGCGGAATCCAAGCAATCCCAACAGTCAGGCGCAAGTAAAAAAGTATCAGGAAAGCAGAAAAACCGGTAAAGTTGAGTGTCTGTTCAGTCAGTGTCACAGTGGTCTCTGTGGAGCAAAACTTTGAGCGGGGGCTTCAGTTAGTCTGGTCCTCCTCATGTGGCACATCCATGGTGTGGGTCTCCGCTCATGCTGGATGTTTGCTGGAAGTTTGCGCGGAGACGAGGTCAGTTCGGAGGGTGTAGGCGAGGAGGGGATTTCATTGAAGATCACCAGCACTACTTGTGTTTTTAGAATACTGACTGGTTGATTTAGAGGAATGAAGTCTCCCTCTCTCCTCCTCTCTGTCTTCCCTTCTCTCTTTTCTCTCTCTCCACGCGCGCGTCACGGCGCACAGCAGCTCTCGTTAATTCTAAACCACACTGACCACAACTGCATGTAAACATGTTTTCCTGTCAATGTATGGATAGTGACTATAGTCGAAGTAATTCAACTGAGAGAGGATGTCATGAATTATGTCATAGTCATTAAAGTGTGTGAGTAATCAAAGAAAGAAGTTGGATTTAAATGTGACTTTAAGATGCCACACTTATTTCATCCATTATTTCAGAGCTAAACTGCTTGGTCAATACAACTATTAATATGTCAATGATGACAGTTATCATTTAAAAGTACTTTTTCAGAATGACAAATGTGGGGAATCTCTAAATCTCTTAAAATATGTCAGTACATTATATATATTTGGGTTTTTACTGATGGCTGGACATACAAGCTATGTGAAGATGTCCCCATAAATATCTACTATCAATAAAAATAAAAATGAAGATTTATCAAAACAAGTTTCTAGTTTTGCTAGCCCTTTTTATAAACCACCTCAAACTTAAAATATCACTAAGAATATTGTTTCAGTGTGTCTTTTTTACATTATCTTAGCTTTATATAATAAATGCAATTATTAATGGGATTTAAATCAAGGTAAACAGGTCTGTGTCTTTATCTGCATTCCTACACAAGGAAAACCAACAAAATAGTTTGCAGATAGATTAAATAGGTAGATCGATAGATGCATAGATATATATGTAGACAGATAGATCGATTACTGTAACTAACTATACAAGCATATTGAAATGATCAAACTAGAACTACTTCTAACTTGAAGTTGACCTAACATACTATATTTGAATAATATATTGTAGGGCCATACCTATATAAAACATGTCTGAAACGTTTTTTTTTCAAAATACCAAATAGATCACGCATTTTACACCATGCCTCATTTCGCTCTATTTGCTCTTTTTTAGCCCTGTTTTTGCAAGGGCTGAATCTGTGAGAAGTCTTCTTCGCTGCTTTTGTGGCAGACTACAGCGCCACCTACAGGCCTGGCATATGTACTACAGTGTCTCCAGCGCTTTCGACCGGCAATGGCCGTGGCTGTCTCCTCCTGATAGGTGGAGAGTTGCCCATATACTGTAGGCGGAGCTCCTCGTTGCCAGAGATATATAAAATCTGTATCAGTGTGTATCAGATCCGTTGCAGCCCTGTTTTTAGAGATTTCGGTATGGAGGAAAAGAGAGAGGGTTGTGTTTTCTGACACTTGGTGAGTTCCCTGAAACACCGGGGACACATATTCATGTATAAAAGACGTACAAAATTGCATTTTGCATGATAGGTCCCCTTTAAATAAAGTCGCACCAGATATGAGATTCAATATTTTTCTTATCAAGCTCCACATTTGTGGAATCAGCTTCCAGTTTGTGTTCGGGCGGCAGACACCCTATCCGTTTTTAAGAGTGCGCTTAAGACCTTCCTTTTTGATAAAGCTTATAGTTAGGGCTGATTAGATTCAGCCCCTAGTTTTGCTGATATAGACTTAGTTTGTCGGGGGACATCTTACTTCTTCCTTCTCTCTGTCCATACCTGTGTACTCTCATGTACCGATTAACCCAGCTTCCCCACATTTCTTTCTTTTTGGTGTCTATATACGCCGGGATCCGGAGACATGGATGATCCTGCGGTCCTGTGTCCTGGATCCAACCCGGTATCACGGCAAGACGTGAACATGTGACGATTTACCATGCTGGGAGACGTGAACATGTCACGGTTTCGTCCCCTTCAAACGTGACAGCTACACGGTATTGTTAACCCATGTTAACCAGTGGAGAAATAACCGGAAATACCAAGCAAATGCTACCCCGACGTAATGATTTATTTTTTAATAGTCACACTCGATTACAGCGATTTTCTTGTTGCCCCAGCTGGTCGACACCTCTTTTAGCAGAAACAAAGGCTACATTAATGTATTAAATCGATGTTAATCCATGCGTGTGGATGTGGAATTAACGGACGTGACGTTGTGCGATTGAGTTGCCAAGCAACAGCTTCGGTTCATGTTAATTTACAAACTATTCAACTACAACCGTAGTTATATTTAAAAACATGTTAGAAGGCCTCACGAAATACTTTAATGCACATTAAAATGTAAATGTGAAGGAATGTGTGTATAACAAAATACATCGGTCATTAAACGAAACCGGAAACAGACGTAGGCCAGATCCTCAGCTCGATGATTGGATGGTTATCCGCAATGCATGCTGGGATTTGGTGTTTATGTGATGTGAAATCTGAAAACATTTTTAAAAAATACAATAATACTTTATTCCGAGTGTGCTTGCTTTACTCTTTGAAAGTCATCACATAACGGCTTTGTAATACACGGTTCGGCTGCATTAAATATGACATATCTGCCGTAGTTCTCTATTTATAGAGCCATGCTGAGAAGACTTCTAGACAAACAGGAGAACTGCCGCCAAAACTGAAAACGTGACGTGGACCATAAATATATAAGCAATTATACAACATCTTATATTTCTTTTCCCACAATGCGTCTCCTTGCAGTATCAACACTAATTCGGCTGACTTTTATATTTGATCCAATTGGTAGATAGGCTGTATTTAAACCATAACCGTGCAGAGCTGATAGAAAGGGACACCTGGTGGTCAAAGCACGTTATTGAATTGTATTATTTTATTATTAGATATTAATAAGGATCTCTATAAAGTATATTCATTACTCGTTATTCTCTACTAATAGTTCATTAAAGACTGTATATAATGACTAGTTTGAACATCCCTTTCAAGATTTCAAGATTTTATAAGCTAAGGTTTATTGACATATCATATTATACACAACTACTGTGTAGTTATGCAATGAATGAAAAACTTGGGTCGCAGGTTCCTCAACAGTGCATTACAAGACATCTATCAATATGTGTGTATACTCCACCATTAAACTGTCATTCTGCACATTTCTTATACTATCTACATACATCTTATAAGAGTACAATACATATGTATACTATCAGTTTAATAATAAACAAATAATAAACAAATAAGTGCTTAAACATAGTTAACATTGCAGGAAAGCAATATATTAGACGTTAAGTACTTTGTCAGGCTTAATATTTATCTGTAGATACAAATGTCACTGTGTGTGCTGTGTGCTCTGCATGTGTGACCATTAAAGAATCAGAATCAGAATACCTTTATTAGTTCCACAGAGGGGAAATGTGCAGCGTTACAGCAGGAAAGAGCCACAGACAGCTTAGTGTTGCATATCTTACATGCGTTAAAAAAGTACTAAGTTAGAATAAAATAAACAATATGCTAAAAAAGTACTAAGTTATAATATAATAAACAATATGCTAAAAAAAAGATAAAAAGTTACATAATTTTCAAAAATACAGATCAAAAACAAAACGGCATATATATTGATTTAGTGGCCAGGTATAAATTACACAGTTATTAATGGCATATATATATTGCACATATTGCACAAAGTTGGTTTGTATTTAGCAGCAAGGGGTGTTATAGTTTGTGTTGTGGTGTGTGTAGGAGGGTCTACTAGGGGCAGTGCTGGTTGTAAAGTCTGACCGCTGCAGGAAGGAAGGACCTGCGGTTTCAAGAGGGTTTCATCCCTCCATATTCTTCTTAAAGCTTTTTTCTTATTCAAAATAAGACCTTAACCTAAAGTACTCTTTAATGTTTAAATTAAGCCTTATTAGTTTGTCTGTTTTGCACATCCTCCTATTAATATCTAATAATACAATTCAATAATGTGCTTTGACCACCAGGTGTCCCTTTCTATCAGCTCTGCACTGTTATGGTTTAAATACAGCCTATCTACCAATTGGATCAAATATAAAAGTCAGCCGAATTAGTGTTGATACTGCAAGGAGACGTATTGTGTGAAAATAAATGTAAGATGCTGTTTAATTGCTTATATATTTATGATCCACGTCACGTTTTCAGTTTTGGCGGCAGTTCTCCTGTTTGTCTAGAAGTCTTCTCAGCAGGGCTCTATAAATAGAGAATTACGGCAGATATGTAATATTTAATGCAGCCGAACCGTGTATTACAATGCCGTTATGTGATGACTTTCAAAGAGAAAAGCAAGCACACTCAGAATAAAGTATTATTGTATTTTTAAAAAATGTTTTCAGATTTCACATCACATAAACACCAAATCCCAGCATGCATTACGGATAACCATCCAATCATCGAGCTGAGGATCTTGCCTACGTCTGTTTCCGGTTTCGTTTAATGACCGATGTATTTTGTTATACACACATTCCTTCACATTTACATTTTAATGTGCATTAAAGTATTTCGTGAGGCCTTCTAACATGTTTTTAAATATAACTACAGTTGTAGTTGAATAGTTTGTAAATTAACATGAACCGAAGCTGTTGCTTGGCAACTCAATCGCACAACGTCACGTCCGTTAATTCCACATCCACACGCATGGATTAACATCGATTTAATACATTAATGTAGCCTTTGTTTCTGCTAAAAGAGGTGTCGACCAGCTGGGGCAACAAGAAAATCGCTGTAATCGAGTGTGACTATGAAAAAATAAATCATTACGTCGGGGTAGCATTTGCTTGGTATTTCCGGTTATTTCTCCACTGGTTAACATGGGTTAACAATACCGTGTAGCTGTCACGTTTGAAGGGGACGAAACCGTGACATGTTCACGTCTCCCAGCATGGTAAACCGTCACATGTTCACGTCTTGCCGTGATACCGGGTTGCCTGGATCGCGAGCCCTGGATCTTGAGTCGTGGCTGTGGTCCTGGATCATAGGTCCTGGATGGATATCCTCGTGGATTCATCTTCCTATTATACACACATGCATTTCCAAACATTTGGACTACCTATGTTGCAAATGTATCATCTTTTCAATTTACACACGGCATCTATTGCACATCTGTCCGTCCTGGGAGAGGGATCCCTCCTCTGTTGCTC